TAGATAGACTTTAAACCCCATTAACCAACCAACCAGTCTTAATGACCCTGGTGTAGTAGATAGACTTTAAACCCCATTAAAAACCAACCAGTCTTAATGACCTGGTGTAGTAGATAGACTTAAACCCCATTAACCAACCAACCAGTCTTAATGACCCTGGTGTAGTAGATAGACTTTAAACCCCATTAAGCAACCAACCAGTCTTAATGACCCTGGTGTAGTAGATAGACTTTAAACCCCATTAAGCAACCAACCAGTCTTAATGACCCTGGTGTAGTAGATAGACTTTAAACCCCATTAACCAACAACCAGTCTTAATGACCCTGGTGTGTAGTAGACTTTAAACCCCATTAACCAACCAACCAGTCTTAATGACCCTGGTGTAGTAGATAGACTTTAAACCCCATTAACCAACCAACCAGTCTTAATGACCCTGGTGTAGTAGATAGACTTAAACCCCATTAACCAACCAACCAGTCTTAATGACCCTGGTGTAGTAGATAGACTTTAAACCCCATTAACCAACCAACCAGTCTTAATGACCCTGGTGTAGTAGATAGACTTTAAACCCCATTAACCAACCAACCAGTTCTTAATGGACCTGGTTGTAGTAGATAGACTTTAAACCCCATTAACCAACCAACCAGTCTTAATGACCCTGGTGTAGTAGATAGACTTTAAACCCCATTAACCAGCCTTAACAACCATTCACAGGCTGAACACGAGTACGTATCAGAATTACTCGGAAGTGCCATTAACGACCTAGAATTCTACACCGATGGTATGGGCGTTCCCGTGGGCGGCGTGAGGGTGTGGGCGTGGGCAACCACCCATCAACCACTTAACCACTCCAAGTGGTGGCCAGGTAGGCCTCAAAATATAAATTAACACTAAGAAAAATGATAAATAAATGGAGAAGTTTCCCCTTAAGAAAACGGTAACTAATTTATTTCTCTCAAATTAGTCACCAAATTTTCTTTTTATGTAAATTCTGTCGTATTTTAAAAATATTTATTATTTTTACTCTACGATAAATTTACTAAATTAAATATTAATTTATTGGTAGGTCTAAAAATATTTTTTTTTATTTAAATATTAAGTAAATTGCCTAAGTTTTTGTAACCATTATTTTCTACAAAATAGGCCTATGTCACAGAATGGGTGTAAGTCACAAAATAAACCTATAAGCCACAAAATAGATCTATAAGTCACAAAGTAGGCCTATAAGTCAATCACAAAATAGGTCTATAAGTCACAGAGTAGGCCTATAAGTCAGTCACAAAATACGTCTACAAGTCACAAAGTAAGCCTATAAGTCAGTCACAAAATACGTCTATAAGTCACAAAGTAGGCCTATAAGTCAGTCACAAAATACATCTATAAGTCACAAAGTAGGCCTATAAGTCAGTCACAAAATACGTCTCTAAGTCACAGAGTAGGCCTATAAGTCAGTCACAAAATAGGTCTATAAGTCACGGTAGGCCTATAAAGTCAGTCACAAATATGTCTACAAGTCACAAAGTAGGCCTATAAGTCAGTCACAAAATACGTCTATAAGTCACAAAGTAGGCCTATAAGTCAGTCACAAAATACGTCTATAAGTCACAAAGTAGGCCTAAAGTCAGAAAAGTAGGCCTATAAGTCAGTTACAAAATACGTCTATAAGTCACAAAGTAGGCCTATAAGTCAGTCACAAAATATGTCTATAAGTTACAAAGTAGGCCTATAAGTCAGTCACAAAATACGTCTATAAGTCACAAAGTAGGCCTAAAGTCAGAATAGTAGGCCTATAAGTCAGTCACAAAATAGTCTACAAGTCACAAAGTAGGCCTATAAGTCAGTCACAAAATACGTCTATAAGTCACAAAGTAGCTACAAGTCAGTCACAAAATAGTCTATAAGTCACAAAGTAGGCCTAAGTCAGAAAAGTAGGCCTATAAGTCAGTCACAAAATACGTCTATAAATCACAAAGTAGGCCTATAAGTCAGTCAACAAAATACGTCTACAAGTCACAAAGTGGTCTATAAGTCAGTCACAAAATACGTCTATAAGTCACAAAGTAGGCCTATAAGTCAGTCACAAAATACGTCTATAAGTCACAGAGTAGGCCTATAAGTCAGTCACAAAATACGTCTACAAGTCACAAAGTAAGCCTATAAGTCAGTCACAAATATACGTCTATAAGTCACAAAGTAGGCCTATAAGTCAGTCACAAATACGTCTACAAGTCACAAAGTAGGCCTATAAGTCAGTCACAAAATACGTCTATAAGTCACAAAGTAGGCCTAGTCAGAAAAGTAGGCCTATATAGTCAGTCACAAAATACGTCTATAAGTCACAAAGTAGGCCTAAAGTCAGAAAAGTAGGCCTATAAGTCAGTCACAAAATACGTCTATAAAGTCACAAAGTAGGCCTAGTCAGAAAAAGTAGGCCTATAAGTCATCACCAAAATACGTCTATAGTCACAAAGTAGGCCTAAAATCAGAAAAGTAGGCCTATAAGTCAGTCACAAAATACGTCTATAAGTCACAAAGTGGCCTAAAGTCAGAGAAGTAGGCCTATAAGTCATGTCACAAATGTCTGTAATGTCACAAAGTAGGCTATAAGTCAGTCACAAAATACGTCTGTAAGTCACAAAGTAGGCCTAAAGTCAGAAAAGTAGGCCTATAAGTCAGTCACAAAATACGTCTATAAGTCACAAAGTAGGCCTATAAGTCAGTCACAAAATAGTCTTATAAGTCACAAAGTAGGCCTATATAGTCAGTCACAAAATACGTCTATAAGTCACAAAGTAGGCCTATAAGTCAGTCACAAAATACGTCTACAAGTCACAGAGTAGGCCTATAAGTCAGTCACAAAATACTTCTATAAGTCACAAAGTAGGCCTATAAGTCAGTCACAAAATAGGTCTATAAGTCAGAGTAGGCCTATAAGTCAGTCACAAAATACGTCTATAAGTCACAAAGTAGGCCTATAAGTCAGTCACAAAATAGGTCTATAAGTCAGAGTAGGCCTATAAGTCAGTCACAAAATACGTCTATAAGTCACAAAGTAGGCCTATAAGTCAGTCACAAAATACGTCTATAAGTCACAAAGTAGACCTATAAGTCAGTCACAAAATACGTCTACAAGTCACAAAGTAGGCCTATAAGTCAGAAAAGTAGGCCTATAATAGACTATACATTAACATGAGTGATGTCGTTCACAGGCTGGAACAACACTGGAAGGAGGAGCACCATCCAGGCTCCAGGGCTGACCACTTCCTCTTGTCTGGTCCTTAAGAAGTACTTCCCACTGACGGATGGTTCGGGCAGTGTCTACGACAGTGGCTTCTACTACTTCACGCCAGTGGACTGTGAGAGCAAGAGGCCTTTTGTGTGTATGGCGACTGTGAAGGAAGTAGGTAAGTGCCTACCTTGTATGGTGGTAGTGGTAAGTACCTTGTATGGTGACTGGGGAAAAGTGCCTACCTTGTATGGTGGTAGTGGTAAGTACCTTGTATGGTGACTGGAAAGTGCCTACCTTGTATGGTTGGTAGTGGTAAGTACCTTGTATGGTGACTGGAAAGTACTACCTTGTATGGTGGTAGTGGTAAGTACCTTGCATGGTGACTGGAAAGTGCCTACCTTGTATGGTGGTAGTGGTAAGTACCTTGTATGGTGACTGGAGAAAGTACCCACCTTGTATGGTGGTAGTGGTAAGTGCCTTGTATGGTGACTGGAAAGTGCCTTTCCTTGTATGGGTAGGTAGTGGTAAGTACCTTGTATGGTGACTGGAAAAATGCCCACCTTGTATGGTGGTAGTGGTAAGTACCTTGTATTGTGACTGGGAAGTGCCCCCCTTTTTATGGTGGTAGTGGGTAAGTATCCCTTGTTGGTGACTGGAAAGTGCTACCTTGTATGGTGGTATGGTAAGTACCCTTTTATTGTGACTGGGAAGTGCCCCCCCTTGTTTGGTTGGTAGTGGTAAAAATACTTTTATGGTGATGGAAAAGTGCCCTACCTTTTGGGGGTTTTGGGGG